GGGGGGTGGGGACTGGCCAGGTAGAACGTGCCCACGCGTGACTGCTCCTCTGGTGAGTGTTTCCAGGTACACTTCTTGGGGTTCCTCCCCAGTCCTGACAAAAACTTGTCTAGTGTTTAGTAATTATGGCTATGTTGTTGGAATGATCCAATCTGTGAACTAGTCAGGTGGACAGTGAGAAAGATATGATGTTTTTGGTGTTTAAAGGGTTTTTTTTCCTGCTTTTTTAATCTTTTATGCATGTAAGTAATCAACCTGGTTGACTGTGCTAACGGTAGGAACAGAGGGCGCCTGAGCAGAGAGCAGGAGGAATAAAAATGCTGCTTGGATAGTAAGAAATCAAGCGGCTGCTGGTTCAACGTGGGGGATTGGCCTCAGCGTATGGTGTGTGAGATGGGGGGGGGGGGGGGGGGGGTAAAGCTCCTGTAGCCAGCTCGAGGGACCCGCAGCTTTCCACCCCTCTAGAGTTACCTGCGTCCTTCCTGGGGTGAGCAGAAGGCTCCTGGCCGGTTCCCCTAAACTAAAAGTTCACTAGTTGAGGCCAGAGACTCTTCCATCGACCTCGGAGTTGTTTTTAAAGTAGTTGTTTGATTTGTGGTGGGGAAGGCGTGTTCACGGCCTGACTGCTGGGCAAAAAAGGCGGGCAGGTGTGAGATAGAAAACGCCCTTTCAGGAGACCTGGCGGTGTGAGTGAGCAGGTGTATCTGAAGGTTAATACCAAGAAAAGAATGATTTGTAAATGCTCCATAAAGTAATATGTGGTTAATGTAACTTGTGAAGAATAAAATATTTGGACACTTTCTTTGTTATCCCTCTTGCCCGGGTGACTGAAGGGTCCCAACGCCGCTGACTGCAGAGGCTCGTGCGGGGACAGGGCTCCGCTCCCTCGGGGCTGCGAGGCGCAGCCTACGGACGGGTTTTATCGGCCCCGTCCAGTTCTTTGTTCTTCCCTGCTGAAATGTTCCTCCTGTGTATTTCTGCAGCACAGAGATGGGAACTCCTCCTTTCCATGGCCGCCCCCCTTGTAAGTTCTCTCCAGCTGTTCTCTGTAACCTGGGACTGTAGGACAGCGTGGAAAGGAAAAGCTCAAGGATTATTGAAAAGAAGGAAACTGCAGGGATTTTTTCCTCCTCTTTTTCAGACCATTTCAGGGCTGCCCCCCCTCTCTCCTTACCCTCCTTGCTCTGTTGTAGCTGCAATATTTCCTCGTGTCTCTCGACGCTTTTATTCTCATACCGCTGAGTTCAGTGTGCAGCTCTCCCGGGGAGGGGAGCGCTCCTGCCCGTGTCAGGCCGTAGCCAGTCCTCGATGGAGGAGGAAGGATCAGCTGGCAGAGCAGGACGCTGGGTCTGGGGACGGGCTCCGGGTGCCACCCGCCTCCCTCTGCCTGCGGCTGAACTCGAAGCGGGGAGCTGGCAGCCCGCTTTCGGCGGAGCGGGTTTCCTTCCAGACTCCCACACTTCCTAACTCCTCTGGGGAGCATGCTGACAGCAAAAAATAAACCCTGGTATTTTTTTTTTTAGGTCCACTTTTGCTCTGCAGCTACTGGTTTGTGCTTATTTTAACCCAATTTATGTGTTTCTTTAACTAAAAGCGGCTGAAAACCTGCAGCAATAGGGAATGTAGTGGTGGAGGATGCTCGCCCCTGGCTGAGGGTCTCCTCCGCCGGTTTGGCCAGCTCCAGGGTGACCCCGGACCCCGCTGTTTTCCCGGGGGGGCGGCTCCGGCCCGCTCAGCACCGGCCGCACCGGACAGCTCTGCGGGGCCGGCGCT